TCGGTGTAGCCTTCTCTGTGGGGCCACGAAGCGTGTGAGTGGTGTGCCGGGAGTGCCGACATGGGCGAGGGAACGCACCCGAACTCTGCCACAGGAGCCTTCAGTGAAGTTTCCAGTGGGGCCACGAAGCGTGTGAGGGATGTATCGAAGTATCCATGGGACGCATGCGAACATTGCCGCAAAAAGACTGTTGATGGAATTCCTGGTGTGGCCATGAAACATGTGAAGGGGTGCGCCGGAACGAACGTGGGAGGCATATACGAATTGTGCCACAGACCCTCGGTGGAGCTCCTGATGGGGGCCACGAGCCGCGCGAAGGGCGCGCCAGCGTGAGCGGGGGGGCGCACTGCCACAGGAACCTTCGTGCTGGGCAACGGAACGTGTGAGGGGTGCGCCACAAGAGCTTTCGGTGGAGCTCTCCGTGGGCCAAGAAGATGGTGAGAGGTGCGCCGAAGTGGTCGGGGGGGCGCATCAGAACCCTGCTGCAAGATTCTTCGGTGGAGTTCCCTGTGGGGGCACGAACAAAAAAAACATGCGGACGGAGGAGGCAAGGACAGAAAACGGAGGAATCCTGGAGGAGGAGGAGGAGGAGGAGGAGGAGGAGGAGGAGGAGGAGGAGGAGGAGGAGGATCTCGAGGAGGAGGGGGAGGAGGAGGAAGAGTCTGAGGAGAGGAGACGCGGGGCGCCGTGGGTCCAAAACGGGGACTCGACACCACAGGACGGTTGGTGAAAAAATTGAACCGACCTCCAGCAGTGCAGGACTTGCTTGAATAAGGGAAACGTGGGAAATTCTTCGCAAAACGCATTGTCCAGGAGCCTACTATGGACTTTGGTGCCAGCGTAAGGCGCGAGGACAAGGCGAGTGAAGGAAGGAGTAGGAGCTCACACCGAGCACGGCTAATGGTGAAACGTGATGACGAGGGGAAGGGGGGACCGAACGGACAGACACATGAACGGAGCATTGAAGGAGTCAGTCTGCAGACTTGCGTGTGATCGGGCGTAAACAAGATGAGCATGTGGCGCATGCTGTGGGCAAGCGCGCACGCATCGCGCGCGGTTCTCGCTGAGCAGGGTGTCTTTTGCCGTGGATGTCCATTGGTAATGTGGGCATCCTTGCGATATGGACTTTAAGTGAACTTCATCACAGATGGGCTAGCACATGCATGTACGTGGTGCCTTGGGTGTCGGGGGATCAACCAGACGCCCCGTTAGGGGACAGTTGCGACTCATTATTGGTGACCCCGTGGAGTATAGTTATGAGTGTTTGTCGTGACGGCTTGTTGTTTGTTTCGAGATAGGCCCGCCACTCAAATTCAATTATAATTTGCAGAGTTTTCCCAGCCCAATTCCTGTTCCACCTCAAGTTTACCATGGCACGATATTTGGTTTGGCAATCTACCTTTTGGGAAAGGTAATGCGTTCCACGGTATGGCCATGTATTCCTTGAGTGCGGCATTGCATTATTTGGGTATGGCAGTCATTTCACGGGGTATGGCAACGGGCCCCTTTTGCATTCTAACCGTAGCCATGGGTATGGCAGTGTCTCCATGTGGTATGGTCTAGTGGTGTCCCAGGGAGGGCAATGACAGCCGCTGGAGTCCTATGGAGACCAATCGAGCCCAACGGTGCCCGATGGAGTTCCATGAGATCCAATGGTAGCCGATGGATTCGTATGGAGCGCAATAGAAGGTTATGGGTTTTCGAACGGAGTCCAACGGTGTCCACTGTAGTCACGTGGGGGATTCCGTTGAACCAATGGAGTCGTATTCAGTCCAATTGTGTCAACAGTCTTTCTTGAGTCGTACGGATCCCATTTGAACCAATGGAGTTCCATTGGGTCAAAAGCAGTCCTTCTGAGTAGTCCAATGGGGCCTCATGGGTGTCCGAATGGAATATTGTGTCGACAAATGGAGTCCCCTAAAGCCCAGTGGGCCAGTCGAGTCTAATCCAGGCCAGGAGAGCCCCATGTAGTCGTATGGAGTCCAGTGGAGTCGTATGGAGTCTAATGGAGTCCTATGTAGTGCTATGGGGTGCCCTGGAGTTGTATGTGTTCCTTTGGTGGTGTCCGATGGAGCCCATGCATTCGAGTGTAATCGTAGTGGTATCCAACGCAGGATGTCGTGGGGGGGTTTCAATGGGGTCGAATGGAGTCTTGTAGTGTCTGGTGAAGTCCGATGCAGTTCATTGCAGCCCGAGAGAGATCAATTTATTACATTGGAGTCCGCTGGATTCCCACTGGGACCAATGGAGTCCTATGGGGAGATAGGTTCCCTTCTGCCGACTGGAAGTGTCATTGCATTGTGTTGCGCTGTTCTGCAGTTTTTTTTCAAAGGCACCGCGTTGGTTTGCACTGTGTTGCGTGGCCTCGCATTGTTTCCGTTGACGTCCGCTGTCTTTCTTGCATTGGTTTGCAACAGGTTGTATCGATTCTATAGGCTTGCGCCACATCCGCCGACCCCTCATCTTGGCGGTCTTGCCGGAACCTCGGGTTCACAGCCCGCAGTTGCCAGGCGTATCAGTGCGGCGGCGCGTGCAAGAGAAGACTACCGACGTCGGCGTTCTCCGGGAACCCTGCCAACGTCGCACGCGATGCAAAAAAGGGCACCCTGATATGCAAGACCTGCAAATGATGCCCAATCGGGGGCGCGCGTGCGGGGGAGGACAGGGGGGAGGGGGAGAGAGGGATGGGGGGTGAGGCGGAGGATGGGGGGAGAAGAATCGGGGAGGAAGAGGAGGAGGCGGGGGAGGAAGAGGAGGAGTGGGCGAGGAGGAGGTGGAGGAGGAGGAGAAGAGGGGGAGGACGGGGACACAGAGACGAAACTCTGGGATATGTGCTATTGGTTAGAAACTTGTTGTATGTGTATAGGGATCTCGCGGCACGCCTCTCGGGGACCTTTGGAAAGCAGTTTTGAACCCACCTGGCGGCCGAGGTGGAGGAGGAGGAGGAGGAGAAGGAGGAAGGGGACACAGAAACAAGGCTCTGGGTTATGGGTTTTGGGTTAGGGCCGTCTTGCACCAGCTTGGGACCAATTTGGAGACAGGTTTTGCCGTCTTGGGGTCGTCTTAGGCCGAATTGGGAGGCGTCCTGGGCCGTGTTGGGATTCTCTGGGGCCGTCTTGAGGCCCTCTTGGGGCGCCGTGGGGCGATCTTGGAGGCTCTTTGGGCTACGTGAGCCGACGGAAGCCGGGAAAGGCAACAATTGCAAACATGTTCAACAACGCAATGGAAATGTAATGAAATGCGTAATGTGCGCCTCTTTCAGATGTCCTGGGGGTCTTCTTGGAGACTTCGTGGGCGATAGTGAAAGCCTTGTCGGCCATCTTGAGGCCATTTTGGGCCGTCTTCGAACGTTCTTGGGCCGTGTTGGAGCCATCTTGGGCCGTTTTGGAGCCATCCTGGGCCGTTTTGGAGCAATCTTGGCCTCGAGAGCGCGAATCATTTTTTTGTGCGCAAACGCAACCCCGCCACCGTGCCTGGGTTGTTGATATGAGACTTGTGCGGTGATCGTTGGGATCTCTTGGGGGGCTTTTCGCGGGACTCTTGGAGGCAGTTTCGAAGCCTCTTGGGGGCCGTTTTGGAGCCTCTTGGGGGCCTCTTGGGGCCTCTTGTGGGCGTCTTGGGGGCCTCTTGGGGCCTCTTGGGGCCTTCTGGGGCCGCCTTGGGGCGGAAGGGTCGGATTGTCGGTTCGGGCTCCCCCTCTTGGGCACCTCTTGGGGCCGTCTTGGGGCCCTCTTGGGCTGTCTTGGGGGCCTCTTGGGCCGTCTCAGGTTGTATCGATTTTCATTGCGCTTCTTTACGTAGCGCTATACCAGCTACATGTCGTGATGCCATTGCAAGCATTGTGCGAATCCTTTCGCACAGTCAAGAAGCCGAAATCCAACTTCCACATCTAGATCGTTCTAGATACACATGCATTGTCAACCAGCGTTGGCCCAAAGTCTGATGTTCAATTGCATTGAAAGCTCTCCACTGGACTCCTGCAACTACACCGGTCTTTGGGTGCAGCCCATGGGGCAACACATTGGCCCATCTATGACACCCACGAGTTCCCGTCTGGTGCGAAGGACTGTAATTATGGGTGCAGCCCGTGGCGCAACCCGAGCATGACATCGGAATTACCGCCCGCGTGCACGGACCCTGCCGATGGGTTGCACCAGTGGCGCAAGCGATGGCGCATCCTGTGAAGCTGAAGAATTCGCGCCAGTGCAGGCCTAACGCTGAAGAGAGCATGTCGGGCGAGGCCGAGGACGAGGATGAATCCGTTCAGGAACGCCCTCGGAGAGTTATGGAACGCCCTGAGAAGCCCGCGGCGCCCGATACATCTTCCAGATCCGCGGGATCTCAGAGATTCTCGATTTACTCTCACCCAGATTTGTCCTCGTCCTGTCTTCGTCTTACATGGAAGTGAGGGTATTATTCTGTGGACTCCCCCCCCGTCGGCGCGCTAGTTGGCCGCGTCGCTGCCACCTGCCCCGCGGGTCCGTTGGAGAAGGGAAGGGGGCGTTCAGGATGGAGGATCTCTAAAAGGAGGATCCAAGGAACAATTAAATTGGACGATGGAAGAGAGAGAAATGGGAAGAGGATCCAAGCATTGATCCATGTTCTCTTCCACGGACCTCTGAAGGTACCTGCGGGCACCCTCAGACTTAGTTCCCCCCGATCCGAGGGGATGAGGGGGAATGGAAGAATGGTGGGGATGAAGTGCCATGAGCAAGAGGGATGGGGCTCCTCTCTTTCTTTTCTGCGACGCCTGACCCAATGCCGCTTTGGTGGGATCTTGTGGTCAGCCAAGTCTTTCACGTCTCCCTCCTCTCTCTATCTTCGCAGTTTCGCAGACCGTGCGAAAGGGGTGGGGGGAGGAGGTGATTCTGGGCGGGGGAAACAGCTAGGAGAGAGGATCGACGGAGGAGGGAGGAGTGGAGGGAGCATGCGGGATGAGGAGAACTAGAAGCAGCAGGGGGCGCAGCGCGGCGGGCTGCACGCGCGAATGACGCGGCGAGGTCTCAGCTGTACGAGGTCATCGATCGAAAAACGGCCGTGTACTACTACGGCCGCGCGCGTCGCGCCACCGCGGCCGCGCGCGTTGCGCTGTCGGCTGCTGGCATCGTGACAGCTGCTGGACATGCCCTGTGTCACGATGTCCGCCAGATTTGTTCGTCTTGCGGGGCAGGTCGCTCCCGCTTCACTCACCGAGCGCGTTCGTTGCCTCTCGCAACCGTCGTCTGCCTCGATGTCATGGATCGTGAATCCCCCGCCGCGGATCCATTCGACGTGCGAGCAGTTTTGTTGCGAGTAGTGGAACGCGCTTGCTTGTCTATTCACAGTGCGGGGCGGGGTAGTTTTCCCAGCGCATGCTTCGGCTGCCCGAGCCAGTCGATCGCAGCAGCACGCCTCGCTTTTGATGGTAGCGTGCTGAACACGTTGGCGCGCCTCGGTTGCTGGTCCAGACTCGGCAAGGGTCTCGCTTGCTCCATGGACCATTCGTGTCAGGACTCCTCCAGCTCTCTTCTCCACCCTCTCTTCCTCCGTAAAGTCAGACGAATGCTCGCGCGTTGCCCTGCATTAGCACGCTCGCGCACTGCACGCTCTATCTCCCATGTTTGGCCCGATTTGGCCTGCTCGCCGAACGTTTGCCTCGCATTCGAGGCACGCTGCGTGCCTCTACGCCGCGTTATGGTTATGATCACCTCTCTTCCTCCCCTCCCCCCGCTCCTCCTGCCTGCTCCCCTTCGTCTGTGAGCCTTCGCTCGGTCATGCGGCCGCTGTGGCTCCTGTGGCGTCGGGCTGCGTGGGCGAATCGTCGTCACGTGCATGACCTTGGTTCGTGGTTGGCTTTGGCTGTGCTCGTTGTTGCCTTTTGTGGCGTGTCCAGCCTGGTCTTTCCCTTCTCCTTCTTCCTTTGCTCGGATGGGGCGAGGACGAGGATAGTTGCGTTCCAGAGCGTTCCGAAACGCTTCCAGAGCGTTCCAGAACGCTTTGGGAAGGCCGCGGCACCTGAGGCATCCTCCAGAGCTGCGGTATCTCAGAGATTATCGATTCATCCTCACCCGACTTCAGCCTCGTCCTGGCTTCGTCTTGTTTTCCCTTCCCCTTCGTCTGTTGCATCTGCTCCTTCTTCAGTTGCGCCACGTGTTTTGCACACAATAGGTTGCACAATCTGGAATGCACCACGCGAACTGTACAATTTTCATACCTATTTATGTATATACATACACTGCTTATTGATCCACTTGTAGCACACCTCATACATAGCACAGTGTAGATTGCGTCACGCAGGTTGCACCACGTGTACGGCATCACTACTATTGAAACACATATTTCGCACCACGCACATTCCACAACATGTTTTGCACGTCGTAGATGGTGCGACATATATTGCACAACGTACATGGCACATAATGTATGGCACCACGCAAGTCGTTCCACATATATTGCACCACATGTGTTGCCCCACATAGTTATCACCACTTAATTAGTTAGAAAGACAGGGTATAGGTAGGGCCCACGATCGTTAGCATGATCTGGTATGCTGTGTATGTCATGCGCGCCCTCTTATGGTACGATGTGTGACGTACTGATCGCTTGTCTATGTTCCGTCCTGTCATTCCATGACTTGTTCTGCACTAGTATGCCCTTTTGTGTGATGGTGTATCGCTATGCTCTGCAACATACGTTATGGTGTTGTTTATGTTATGTTGTGGTATGACTTGTGCTGTTAGTTATGCTTTGTCATGCTCGCAGGGGCGGGGGTCCGAGGGATTCTCGGTGGACCTGGGGATCTGGCGGCCGCGGTGTGCCTCGTGGTCGGGTCAGGAGACCTGTTCTTTTTTCGATTTCTGGGGGCCCTCGCCGGGCCCCCAGCATCTCAACAAAAACGATTCGGAGTGCAAGACAGGTATCGGGGCAAGAGTCGGGACTCCGGAGACCCCGTATCGAACAAAATCAGGACCACGGATGTCTGGGGTTGGACGCCCCTGCTTCTTTTTGAATGGGCATTCGAGGAGCCCCAGAGGACTCCAGAGGCAGGCCCCAATCGTCGTCAGCCCCGAGGCTTGGTCGAGACCGCCTGGGCTGTCGAAGATTGGCCTGAAGTCGGGCACGGCCCTCTACAGGGGGAATATTCAAAAATAGTAAAACAATAGTTTGGGGACAATTCTCCATCAGTTTTGGGTCATGTTTCGACTATCTGTTTTCTCGTCCAAAATCCGCCTGTAGGGGGACATGCCCAACCTAAGACTGGCCAGGGGAGCGCTCTTCCAGTTGGCTCCCTTCAGTGCCGGCTTTTGCTGCGTCCGGGGGCCGCCATGCTCAGCCTGTGGCGAGCAGCGGAGCCGATGCTTTGGCAGTCTCTGCAGCACGGCAGGGGTCGACCCGAACGGTGTTTTGGCGTTTTCGTGGGCCGCTCTCGTTTCGATCTCGTCCAGCAGCAGGGGCGGATTGTGAACAGAACGAGGGCAAACGAGCACGACACGAAAGCGAAGAACACTGCTTTCGTCGGTGCTTGCAGCACGGCGGGCGCGATACACAAAAGGCGGTCCAAAAAAAAGTCCCGGACGGCTTTCTGACCGTTCCAGAGCGCTCCAGAGCAGCCGTGGCGCCCGATACAGTCATCCAGGCCCGCGAGATTTCAGAGCCTCCCGACTTCCCCCGGCCTGGCTTTGCCTTCTCTTCTTCTTTCGTCTCCACGTGCTCCTCGTCCTCTGAGTCGTCGTCCTCCTCCCCCGTTCCCCCCTCCGATTCCTCCTCCTGCTGTTGCTGCTGTTTCATTTTCTTTTGTTTCTGGTCTCTCGTCATCTCTTCGGCGCGCGTGCACTCGCGCGCACCCGCGAGGCACAAGAGTCAGCTTGAAAAGTATCCACGCGAACCTGCACCTGCGAGATGATGACGAGAGACAGAGCAAGGCGCCCGCTCGTTCTCGCCACGGCGGCTGCGGCAAAGAGGGGGCTCTTTCTCGAGGCCGCGTCTCGGGCCAACGCCCTCTCGACGGCGCTAAGATTCATTGCCGCGGGGTAGATGTGCATTCGGCCTGCACGACAGCTGGCGCGAGGGTCCAGAGCTGCCCCGGCACTGGAGTGGTGCTCTTGTGCTCATTGTGTTTGGGCCTCTCCACCTCGGAGTGTGGTGTGCTCGTGGCGTCTCCGGGTGTGTCCTTGGGTCTTGGGATTCTGTGTGGTTCTCGGGTGCGTTTCTTCTTCACCGACTCGCAAAGGGCCTGCTCGCAACAGGTCCTAAAAGCAGGCGCCTGTCTCGACGTGATGTATCGCAAATCCCCCTCGGCGGATCTGGACCACTTTGCGAGTAGTGGAACGCGCTCGTCTACTTTTGGTGGCTCGCACTGTTCTGTGCTCATGCGGACTCGGGCCTTCGGCGCAGGGGGGCATGTAATTGGCCCACGTTATCGTGGCCATGCCGTCGGTGCAAACCGTGGGAGCCTGGTGTACCCTCTGAACTCCTCGACTAGCGTCGATTAGCGCCCGCCTGGGAGTCAATGCGATAGCGCCGACGTGGCGTCGGTTAGCGTCGAGGAGCGTCGACTTAGCGTCGACTGGCGTCGACTTAGCGTCGATGAGCGTCAGATGGGCGTCCCCGCTCGAACGGGAGTTTCCCCTCGGGGCCCGAAAACTCGCACTCGTACCTATCGTGCCTTCATCACTGTGCCGTTCGTTCCCAAATCCTCTCCCCTATCGATAATAAGTGTGTCTCGTTCTTTCGTGACATTCGGAAGGACATCTTGGGAGGTTGAGTTCAGCGTCGGACTTGTCATGTCCCTTGCCAACAAGTTGCCACATCCAGCACTCACCCGATTCGTCCACATCACTCCCGCAAATCTTGTTGAACCCCGGCTGTTTTGGAGTGATTCCGAGCTTCATCTGGCCGACCCCAGACTGACAGCTGTCATTCAGCGAGTTTTTATCCGTAGATTTCCCTGGGGGTGCTTCCTAAGCAAGGGCACCCTCGAGGGCGCGAAGTTTTTTGCGCTTCGCGGTTCGGCTCCGATTCCTCCTCATCCTCCTCTTCTCTCCTGGGAGGCGGCGCGAGAGCGCGAAGTTATTCGCACTTCGCGCTTCGCTCAGCGCGAAGCGCGAAGTTGGGAGCCCTTGCTAAGGTATTTTGAGTGCACCCGATCGCCCCCCTGGGTCCCGCGCGTGGGCGCGGAGATCGTCGCGCCTCGCGGTTTTGCCGATGAGCTGCTGCTCTCCAGGAGCACCCGGGAGTGCGAAGCCGCGCCTCCCGTGTCGCGCCGAGGACCCGAAGTGCGAGCTCCAAGGGCGCCCTCGAGGGCGCGAAGTTGTTCGCGCTTCGCGCTTCGGCTCCGATTCCTCCTCATCCTCCTCTTCTCCCCTGGGAGGCGGCGCGAGAGCGCGAAGTTGTTCGCACTTCGCGCTTCGCGCCGCGCGGAGCGCGAAGCGCGAACCTGGGAGCCCTTGGAGCTCGGGTGCCCGGGTGTGGCTGGAAGAGGATGAGCGGGAGGGCGCTGGGCGGTTTCGCTGTCGCCTCCCAGGCGTAGCCCAGGTGTGGAGATCGAAGCGGGAAGCTGCATCGAGTCGGAGTGCGCGTCGGATCGGGTTGCATCGGCACGGAGCCAGAACGGGTCGGACGAAGAGGGAGGGATGTGGCGTGTGCCGTCGTGTTGACTGGCTCCGCCACCGACGGCCAGCGCCGCCCTCAAGAAGCAGAGGTCTCGGTTCTTCGTGTGAGGTTTGAGCCTCCCAGTTGCTGTTGGAGCGCGTCGCGGCGATCGCGGCGGCCAAAACTGGGGGCAGTGCTCTGGTCAAGGAGTGGCGTGCCCCTTCCCAGCCCCCCCCCCGCTCTGCGAAGTTCGGGCCGGGCGAAAGGGAGGGATTGGGAAAGGGGGGTTTACGAAATTTGCTGCATGCAGCTGGTTTCGGCTTCACCGAGGGGCCCATTCCTCGATACATAGCCGCCTCCGGCGCCGGGAGGCGCCGGAAAAATCAGCTACGTGAGCTGATTCTCAAACCCCCCCTTTGCTGTCCCCCCCTTTCGCCCGACCCGAGAAGTGGACCCGGCTCAGAATGATCAATGTAGCGGCGGAGAGTTGCCAATATGTATGTCCATCGTGGGGTGTCATGGTTTGTTCCTTTAGGGATCGCTTATTATCCAACTGCCGAGCGCTTGGTTTCGGCGGCGCTTCTTCGGCGGGCCGACCCCTCGACGCCACGCGCCGCGCATATTCTGAGAGGTGCGGGGGCTTTAGAAGGCTGCTCCACCGCAGCCTCCCCTCTTTTTTCCCAGACGCCAATCTGTGTTGAGTCGAAAATTGTCCTCCCGTTTGCTCTACTGGAATCCGTTGTTCTTGTTGTTCTTGTAGGAGTCGAGTGCGAAGAAAAGTCCGGTCGGCGCTGAATGCAAGTCAGGTGCATCGTCGGTCATGTGCGCGACAGATGTATTCTGACAGCCTCGGGGTTCCTTGATCCACGCTGGCGGCAATTGGAACGGGTCGTTACTTGTCGGCCTACACCTTAGGCGATGCTTAAGAAAACTTGAGTTTTCGGCCAGAGTCTCGATTATTCTTAGTGTTTCAATGTAAATCCCAGGATGTTGATAGAAGTTCTGGGTTGTTATTCAACTTCTGAGACTATGAATTTCTGAACCCATGATTTCTTAAGCATTTCGCAGGGTGTAGGTTGAACATCGCACTATCACAGAGCATGCCGTTGTCCCTGCACTGGGCCCGTTCTCTGGCCTCCGACCCGGCAGACCCGACGGAAGCGGCACAGGTCCGCACGCACGCGTGATCGTTTTCTTACCCATTGTCTGCCGATCGGCGCGGGCCCTCGCGGCCCCTTTGAAATCATTATTTTCACGCTGATGCTCTGCTTCATTCACCAGGTTCCGAAGCACCGCGCCGAACTCGGCGCGCTCCACGACCTCCGCCCCCCTTTCCTGGCCGGCGTGCCTCTGCTTGAGGTCGATCTCCTCCGTCTGGCCCTCGAAGAGCCCCCACCCCAGCGTGGAGCAGATCTTGGCCGTTTTCTGCCGCCTGCTTCGAGCAGTTGGAGTCTCCCCCAGAGCGGACGCCCTGCTGCAACCGGGGGAGCCGAGCAGAGGTCCGGAGCCAGAGGGGGAGGAGGGGGAGGAGCAGGAGGAGGAGCCCCTTCCGCCCAGTGTCCAAACGCCGAATAAGACAGCGTTCACCACACGTAGCAAGCCGCCCAGCAGCGCCAAACCCTTGCGCAAGGACGAGGACAGCAAGGAGCCGCACGACCTCGACATCGTTCGGTTCATAGTCATGGCTCCGGAGGCGTGGCAGGGGACCGAAGGGGATCGGCCACGCGCAGAGAGGGGTTTGGTTAGGCGGGCCTGTCCCTCTACAGGAGGAATGTTCAAAAATAGTCAAAACATATTATATGTTTTTTGGGGTCCTAATTTGTTGGTTGACCATGTTTGAAACTATAGTTGGGTATTTTTATTGTTCGTCCAAACTCTGCCTGTAGGGAGACATGCCCGACCTACCGGTAGGGTGAGGGGGGAAGACTTCTTAGAGTCACCCCTGCTTCGTAGATGGCGCGGGCCTCGTCTGTAGACGTTCGGTCGACGCCTTCCGAGAAGCAGCCTCCTTCTAAGAAGCCTTCCCCCCTCCCCCCACCTTCTTGTGCGCGCCGCCAGGGAGAGGCCCCGATGTGGAAAGTCTGGGCGGGAGGAGCAACATCGACAAGGAACATCGACAGGGAGGGACAGCATGAGCGGCGAGAGTGGGGGGCAGGGACGGGAAGAGGGATGAGGAGGAGGAGGAGGAGGAGGAGGAGGAGGAGTAGGAGGAGGAGGAGGCGGAGGAGGCGGAGGCGGAGGAGGAGGAGGAGGAGGAGGAGGAGGAGGAGGAGGAGGAGGATATAACGCAACAGCCTCGATTCTTATGTATGGCCAATGTTGGAGGAGGAGGATGAAAAGGAGACGGATGATAATGAGCGGCGGAAGAGTCCAGGAGGAGGAGGAGGAGGAGGAGGAGGAGGAAGAAGAGCAGCAGGAAAAAGGGGAGGAAGGGGAGGAGGGGAGGAGGGGAGAGGTCAGATGAAAAGGGAAGCAGAAGGGACGAGGGGGTGGGGGAGGCGGATAGGAGAGAGGAGGCAGATCAATAAGAAGAGGAGAGCTGAGCTTGAGAGATGAGGGGTGAGATCACGGAGGAGAAGCGGCAGCAGAAGCGGCTAGAGAGGAGGCACGGATGTTGAAGAGACGCACATGGTGAACCATGGTGACGGGAGATGGCGAGTTGGAGGGAATCAGAGAGAGGGCGGCTGAATGGGGGGGGGATGGGTAAGAGGAGAGGGGACGAGGGTGAAATAGAGATAGAGATGAGGACAAGGTAGGTCGAGAGGGAATTGAAGGAGTAGGACGAGGAGGACGAGGAGGACCAGGAGGACGAGGAGGAGGAGGATGAGGAGGAGGTGGAGATCGGACCGTCGTCGAGGAGGAAGGGGAGGAGGACAGGAGGAGGAGGAGGAGGAGGAGGAGGAGGAGGAGAGCGGAGGCGGAGGGGGCGGAGGCGGGAGGCGGAGGGGAGGCGGAGGCGGAGGCGGATGCGGAAGCGGAGGCGGAGGAGGAGGCGGAGGGCGAGGAGGAGGAGGAGGGGGAGGAGGAGGAGGAGGAGGAGAGGAGAGAAGGAAGAGGCGGAGGCGGAGGAGGAGGAGGAGGAGGAGGTGGAGGTGAGGAGGGGAGGAGGAAGGGGGAGGAGGAGGAGGAGGAGAAGGAGGAGGAGGACGACGACGAGGACGACGAGGACGACGAGACGACGAGGACGCGGACGACGGGACGAGAGATCGACGAGGACGAGGAGGACGACGAGATCGACGAGGACAACGAGGACGACGAGGACGACGAGGACGAGGGAGGCGAGGACGAGGACGGGAAGTGGAGGAGGAGGAGGAGGAGGAGGAGGAGGAGGAGGAGGAGGAGGAGGAGGAGGAGGAGGAGGAGGAGGAGGAGGAGGGAGGAGGAGAAGGAGGAGGAGGAGGAGGAGGAGGAGGAGGAGGAGGAGGAGGAGGGGAGGCGGAGGAGGAGGAGGAGGAGGAGGAGAGGAGGAGGAAGGGGAGGAGGAGGAGGAAGAGGAGGAGGAGGAGGAGGAGGAGGAGGAGGAGGAGGAGGAGGAGGAGGCGGAGGAGGAGGAGGGAGGATGAGGAGGAGGATGAGGAGAACGGGGGGAGGAGGAGAAGGAGCAGGCGGAGGAGGAGGAGGAGGAGGAGGAGGAGGCTGAGGCGGAGGGCGGAGGCGGAGGCGGAGGAGGAGGAGGAGGAGGAGGAGGAGGCGGAGGAGGCTGGAGGCGGAGGAGGAGGAGGAGGCGGAGGAGGAGGAGGAGGAGGAGGAGGAGGAGGAGGAGGAGGAGGAGGAGGAGGGTTGCCGCTGGCGTCTTCCAGCGCCGCCTGCTGGCCGGAGCGCGGGACTTTGCTGAGGGGGGGGCACGGTTTGGCCATTGGGTATGTTTCGCCGCAGTGCTCGCCCGTAGAGCAGCCATAAAATCCACGCTGTTTCCCGTGGGATCTGTGCTGGACGTAAAAAACGCGCTGGTTTTCCGCTGAGTCACACGGCGCGCATGTTCACCGCCCATGCATTCAGGAAGCCGCCGTTGGGGTAATCAGCGGAGGGGGCAGTGAGGGGGCGAGGAGGCGAGACGAGGCAGGGAGGATGCATGGAGAGGGGCAGGGATGGTGGATGTGGCATATGCGGCTGATGGGGACGGTTACCAACGGTTGGAGCGGGAAAAGGAGGATGAGGCCGAGGAGGGATGATGAGGACGAGGAGGGAGGCGAGGACGACAGGAAAAGGAAGAGGGGGGAGGAAGAGGAGGACGAGGAGTGGGAGCAGGGAGAGGAGGGATGCGAGGACGAGGACGAGGAGGACAGCGTCGTCGTCCCCCGCACGGGCTGAGGACGGGGACGAGTTCAAGGAGATCACCTTCGCCTTCCACTTCAAGGACATACCCGCCAGATGCAGGGACTGTCATCGCCAGCACAGTCAAAATCAATCGTAAGGGTTTTAGGGCGGCAGTGCGAACATAATTTCTGCGGAAGCTGTCCAACATCGATACAAGTGGGTATCTCACCGCATACATGGACACGCACACGTTGGACGCAGGGGCCGTATTTATCAGTGACGCTTCTGTTTGCATTGTAACGCTGGTGCATTGCAGTGTGAACATCATGGGCCGGTCTACGGCCGGTGCCGCCGACCATGAAGGGGGACGACCACGACCACGGCGGCGGCGGCGACGACGACGATGCTGGAAAACCTTTTGGGCTCCGTTGGGGGGATTCTTGGAAAGCCCCGTGGCCACTTGGAGCCGCCTCGGAGCAGATCTGAGGCGTATGCAGGAAAACACGCAGCACCCCGCAACAGCAGATAAGAAAGAGGATGATGCCTCCGGGGGGGAGGCCCGGGAGGAGGGGGGGATGGTTGTGCCCTTGTCCTCCTTGTCCACAGGGGGGATGCGGGGGGAGGGGCCTGAGTTCCTTCTGTCCACAAAGGGACAACTCCCCTGGCCCCCTGTACACAAGGGGGACCGTCCGGAGGGGAGGCCACGATCTCTGGGACCCCCTTGCCCCCGAGGACCCCCTCCTCGGGGAGCCCCCCCCCCGGGAGCCCCCCCGAGACCCACCTTGGGATCTCGGGGGTGGATAGACCTCCTACCTTGACACGTCGACTAGTGAATTGGCCGTTTCCGGTTCGCGAGAGGGCGTCGCTGACGCCATTTTTGCGAGTCCAGGTCCGTCGGTGTCGGTCCTAGGCCGTTTTCCCTGAAGGGAGGTTTGCTGGGAGGTTTGTCCACTGCCGAGAACCCCCTCATGGGCCCCTCTCCCGATCCCCCTCCCCGCCAGGGAGGGGTTCAAAGGGAAGGGGCTTCCCCTCGAATCAAACATAACGTTGTCTGATTTCTGTCTGGCCGGCTCGTTTGAGGAGGAGTGCCAACGGAAGGTGGGGAGCGGCGACAGATCTACGATTCAAACGGGAAAACGTATCACACACGCCGACAGGGTCGGATGGTTTCGCAACGCGGCAGCAGGCAGCGTTGTTTTCTGTTTTGCATTGTTGGTATTGGTCGTTGGAGCAGTTGTCCGCACACACGGCTCTCGATTGGATTAGAAGGCGACCCCCGCTTGCGTTCTATTGGATTAGACGGTGGGCCTTGCTTCCTCACCTCGTTTCCCACCCTGTGACCCGGCGCCGCTGCAGATGTTTCAGCATGGACATCTAAAGGCATTGCTCGCTTCGGATCTGCTGCGATTGTTGCTTGTAGCTCGCACGAGGCAGACGACGGCAGCGTGGAGTTCGAGCTGGACGACTTCTCGGGCGAGCTCTACGTCAAGTCGGTCCCGTGCGGGGGGTGGGGCCGGGGCTTCCCCGTGGGAAAAGGGGACGAGGAACCCCAGCTCGCCGACGCCGACGCGTGGAAGAACCAGCGACGGACCTCCAGAGGCGCTGCCCCCCTCCCGCGGACCAGCAAATTTTCCAGGACGTCCCGTCGTGCTTTTGCTCGAGACGTGAAGGGATCCTGGATCAGGGGCGCCGAGATGGGGAGGGGGTCGGCTCCAGCGCCCCACGCCACTGGCGGCCCAAGGTCAGCGATTCGGGCTCGTCCATCGCCGTCCGGCTCATGGAGGACGGCACCGAGTACGACAGGAAGTCGGACGAGGCCATCTTCCAGCCTTGCTACGAGAGTTACCAGGTGCCCCCAGGAGGAGGAGGAGGGAGGAGGAGGGAGGAGAGGACCCACGCGCCTGCGCGCTTTTTGTTCTGGCCTTTCGAGACGACCTCGGCCGAGACCTCAGGAGGACTCCGCTGCCAGGCCTTCGGAGGCCCTGCTCCCCAGAGCTCGTTCCGGGCGACGCCTCGTCCAGAGCTCGCCCCGGGGGCCCCAGGGCCCGGAGCCGTCCCGAACGGCCGTTTGGGGCCCGAGCCTCGGCCACGCGTGAGAGCAGAGCGGCCCTCCACCGGGGTGACCTTCGGCGCGGGCGCACTTTGGCCCCCCGATCGCATCATGCGATGAGAGGGCAGCGGCTGGCGCGCCTCGGTTTGGCCCCAGCTCGCCCCCCTCGAGGGTGGCGCGCGAGAGGCGGCCCTTGCCCCGGGCCACTCGGTGCGCGCCGCGCCCGGAGGCCATGATCCACGGCTCGAGACACGAGCGAGCGGTGCCCCCCTCGGCGTCCTCCCCCCCTGCCTCCTGCGGTTCAGGCCCGCCTGGCGTCGTCCTCGAGTTGCTCTCGAGAGTCGAAGGAATCTCGCCGAGGTATCCTTGGAGCCTCCTTGGCTTGAGGCGCGTGCGGTGCCCCTGGTCTGGTGGTGCTGACATGTGAGCTGGCGCCAGGGGCTCTTCCCTGCTGGGAGTGCAGGCACCGGTCTGATTAGTCGGCCTGTGCAGACTGATCCAGCCGCCGCTGGGAGTGAGGCGGTCAGCAGTTTCCCGCTGGGGAAGCCGTGCGCGCGCCCCTCACACCTGATGAGTGGACCTACTGGCAGCGCCAGCTGCTTGCTGCTAGCGCCGTGAGTGATCAATGTGAGTTTGACGACCTGGTGGCAAACCTCCAAGGTCGCCCTGGAGTGTCTGCTGGCAACTCTCAGCACGAACGGCCTGCGCTTGCGGGCAGGTTTGGCTCGCTTTCTTGACAGAGTCTTGCCCTCGCCTTTGCCTTCGTGGCATTATGTTCGGAAGTTTGCCTGCGCAGTCACATCACGTTAGCTTGCTTCGGGCGACCCCCAACTGAGAGCGCGAGGCGGGATACCTAGGTCCTCTCGGCCGCGGTATGCAGTCGGCATTCGTCGAAGACGCGAGGCGGGATGCGCAAGGAGAACCGCGGCCCTCGGGTATTGGCGGCTGCGATACGCAGGGTGTGCGAGGCGGTTCGGGAGCCCTTGGCTTCAGGTCTGACACCACCTGTCGAGCAATGAAACAGCCTCACATCCTCCCCCCCCGTCCCTCCTCCATCCTCCCCCCTCCCTCGCCCCTCTCTCCCCCCCTCCTCCGTGGCAGCGTTTGGGAGGGATAGGCTCAGGGGTGGATGGATGCATCGACACCCGAATCGCCCACTCATCGCCGACCGGGGCCCAGCAGATCGCCCCGCCCAGGAACGGGCGAGATTAGCCCGCGGGGACACATCGCCGACCTGTCGGCGACGTGTCGCCGATGCCAGATCGATGCCCCTCCCCCCCCCCGAGGCAGTGCGCCCCCCTGCCGTTCCCCCCGAGCCCCATCGTTCCCCCCCGCCCCCTCTCGAGCCACACCGACGGGAGAGGGTGGTTTGAGGATCATCCGCCTAGGTATGTGGCCAGTGCCAGGACAACCAAAGGCCGAGAGGGCGGAGCGCTCGGGAGTCGAGCGTCGTCCACCCCCCTCGGAGTGAAGTTGGCTCCGTTTTCCTCACTCAGTGAGCAGACATTCTCATGCTCACCCTCCCTCCTCACCTCCTCCCTCGCAGCCTCCTCCCCCCTTCCCTCCTCCCCTCCTCCCTCGCGCCCTCCTCCCCTCCCCCCCTCCTCCCTCGCGCCCTCCTCCCCCCCTCCCCTCCTCTCCTCCTCCCACGCGCCCTCCTCCCCCGCGCCCTCCCCCCCCTCCCTTGCCCGCTCCGCCCTCCTCCGCCGGAGAGGTGATCCGCGTCCTCTGGGGCCCGGTGCAGGCCCGCGGGCCCCGCCGCCCTCGCGAGGAGCCCGCGGGGGGGGCAGGACCACTCGAGCAGCCGGCGGCCTCGAGCTGTGGTCGGGCGAAGGGAACTAGGCACATGCACCGATCCTGGCGAGGCCCATCCTGGACCCAGGATCGGTGCATATACTCCAGGTTTCGTAATAAAAGGGAGGGGGTCTGGACCCTCCAAGACAAGCCATTTCAGACCTCCCGCGTGGGAGAACCCTCCAAAACATCGTCCCCAGACCCCCCCAGGCCCTCCAAGATAGCTTGGAAGAGACCCCCCCCGAAATGAGACCCCCCTCCCTTTATTACGAAATCTGGAGTACCTTCCTAGCCAAGGTAGGAGGGCCTATGCACGGATCCGGGGCTCAGGATGGGCCTGGCCAGAATCGGTGTATGTGCATCGTTTTCTTTCCCCTGTGTTGGCGTCCGGTGCTCCCTGCGGGTGCGAGCCTGCAGCTGTCGGGCCGGGCGAAAGGGGGGGATTGGGAAAGGGGGGGTTACGAAATCTGCTGCATGCAGCTGGTTTCGGCCCCACCGAGGGGCCCATTCCTCGATACATGGCCGCCTCCCGGCGCCGGGAGGCGCCGGGAAAATCAGCTACGTGAGCTGATTCTCACCCCTCCTTTGCTATCCCCCCCTTTCGCCCGACCCGAAGCTGGCACAGCATGCGGTGTCTGCTGCTCGGCGGGGGAGGCTGCGGGTTGCTGCCCCGGTGCGGGTTGCGCAGGCCACGGATCCTGCCCGGCGTGTGCGAGGATGGGGCCTCCCACCTTTTTATTTTTTTTTTATTTACTTTTTTTTTTTTTTTTTTTTTAATTTTTTTTTTTTTTTTTTTTTTTTTATTTTTTTTTTTTTTTTTCTGTTTTGTTTTTTTTTTTTTTTGTTTTTTTTTCTTCGGGCCGTTGGCGATTCCCCTCTTGCCTCCTCTCCTCTCCTCCTCCCTCCTTCTTCATCCTCTCCTCCTCCTCCTCCTCCTCCTCCTCCTCCTCCCCTCCCCCCCTCACTAAAACGACGCGAAGATCGGGACAAGCCAATCGGGATAACTCGAAATCTCTGAGAATCGGCGGGTCTGGAGGATGTATTGGGTGCCGTGGCCGCTCCAGAGCGTTTTTTTCAGGGAGCGCTCTGAGAGCGCTCCGGAACGCTCTGGAGCGATTTATCCCGATCCTAGCGCTGTTTTACACTTGGAGCAGGGGGTAGGCTACGGGATTGATTCACCCCAAAGTTGATTTGTTCGTCGACTCTGTGAGAAGGGAGTGGAAGGTTCGAAGATCTACGAACGTCCGTCGCATGCCTCGACGAGAAGAGGATCAATGTTGGGGTGCATCCGTTTTGTAGTCGGTCCCATATGCGATCACGACCCCCCCTCGCTAGGAGGTCGGGGGGGGATGGGGGGAAGGATCCAAGGCCAAGGAACTGCGCGAGGGGAGGTTCGGGATCGGATCACATCGGTTCAGTTCGGCCCGCTTGGGTTCGGCTGGTCCAGTTGGGTACAAGAACCATCTCGCTGCGTCATGCCATACTCCAGATGTCGTAATAAAAGGGAGGGGGTCTCAACCCTCCCAGACGAGAAGTTTTAGACCCCCCCCGTGGGAGAACCCTCCAAAACATCGTCCCCAGACCCCCCCAGGCCCTCCAAGATAGCCTGGAAGAGACCCCCCCCCGAAATGAGACCCCCCTCCCTTTTATTACGGAATCTGGAGTACCTTTCCCGCACCGCTGAGCGTGCTCACCTCGCCCCGTCGAGCTCGCCTCCTCTCCTCTGCGGCCCCTCGCTCGCGAGAGTGCGCAGCACGCCCCCGGGGGGCTTCGAATTCGGCGGCGTGCCCGCTGCCGCCTCCGCCCCGCACCTTCGCGCCCTCCCGACGGGGCTCTGGCGGCCTCTGCCGCGCTCGGCCTCCCGCCTCGGGGGCTCCTGGCCTACGGGGTGTCCGGTTTGCGGGTGGTGCCCCCGTGCCCCCCTCCTCTCTGTCCTCAGCTCATCCTCGCTGCCCCTCCTCTCCGCTCCCCGCCCTTCCATTGCTCCTCTTCCTTCCGCTCCTCCTCCTCCTCTCCTACCCCTCTCCTCCGCCCCTCTCCTCCCCCTCCTCCTCCTCCTCCTCCTCCTCCTCCTCCTCCTCCTCCTCCTCCTCCTCCTCCTCCTCCTCCTCCTCCTCCTCCTCCCGGGGGCCCCGGGGACCGTCAGAGAACAGCCCCCTGGAAGAGGGCCCCGTCCCAGGGCGCGCCCCCGTCCTGGACCCCCCCCTTTCCTCCCCTGACCTTCCAGGAGGGCTAAAAAATAGCACCCGACTTAAAAACCTATCCCAAAGCTATTCTACGTCTTGGTTTTAGGCTGTTTCGCTCGGCTTTTTAGGTTTTTAGGTATCCAGTGCTAAAAAATAGCTCTCTGGAAGGTCAGGGTCCAAAGCACCACCCACCAAACCACCCCAACCCCAACCCGAAGGCTCAGATTTACCCTCGCTTTCCTTCCAGGCGGGGCGGGGGGGTCGGGAAACATCGAACCAGCACATGTGGAACCCTTGCGCCCCCCAACCCGAAATTCGGGTCTTCGGGTTGGGTCGGGGTGGCCTGGTAGGTAGTCTCATCCATAGCCCCCGGGGGTGGGGCCACCGCCCTCGGGGTGCTGGACCGGCCACCTGCCCTGCAGCACTCTCCTGGGGCCGACCCGGCCGTGCCCGGCCCTGGCCAGCCGAGCACAGCAGTCGTCCAGCGGCTGCTCCCATCGCGGCGTGGGGGCTCCTCGTCGTGCCCGCGAGCTGCCGCCTCCTCTCTTGAGAGATCTGTGTGGCGTCTGTCAGTGCCGGGCCCCCGACGTGTCGACTCCCTCCCGAGGGCCCGTGTCTGCATCCTGGGCAGTCGTGTGGTGGCCCCGTGGCCGGGCGAGGCATCGCATCGCAGACCTCTGCACAATCGTATTCCACCTCGGAGTCTCACTTCTCCGAGCATCGGTTTCGAACAGTGCGTAGAACGAGTTCGTGCCAAGTGCGCAGGCGCTGGGACAGCACCCAGCGCCCGAAACCGACGACCGGCCTCCGAACCCGCCCACGCGGGAGGTCTGGGCGCTGCCTGGCCTCTGCCCCCCCCCCGCCCAGAGGCCACGGACGGCCAGGAGATGGTGGACGCCATCGAGGCGGCGAGGGCGGCCAAGGCGCCGGTGAGGATAACGATCAAGAAGTCCGGCGGGGAGGCCACAGCCGGCGCCTCCCGCCCTGCCACCTCCGGGCGGGCCGAGGGCGGGGAGGAGTCGCACCGCGGGGCGTTTCGGCGCCTTCTCAGAGTTGCCGCGGCGCCTGGTGCGTCCTCCGGACAGTCACCCGATCTCAGCGATTCCCGATTCATCCCGGTCCGATGTTGGCCCAGGGTTGGCTTCGTCTTGGGTTTGGGAGCCACGAGCACGACCGGACGAGCATGACAGGATGAAGCAAGACGGACACACATGAGCCATGCACGTTAAAGGCGCGTTGCGACGGCCATGAGGCGAAAACGGAGATGACTGGACTGGGTGAAACGGCGAGCGAGGTAAGGATGGCAACAGGAGGAGGAGGAACGGAGATGACTGGACTGGGTGAAACGGCGAGCGAGGTAAGGATGGCAACAGAGGAGGAGGAGGAGGAGGAGGAGGAGGAGGAGGAGGAGGAGGAGGAGGAGGAGGAGGAGCAGCAGGACGAGTACGGAGGAGGAGCAGCACGGATGAGGAGAAGGAGGGTTGTGGAGAAGGTGGACAGGAGGAGGAGGAGGAGGAGGAGGAGGAGGAGGAGGAGGAGGAGTGGCGAGTTGGGCAAGGTTTGTCGCCCTGACAGAGTAGGCTCCTGGGGAAAGAGGGTTCTTTCTTGGCTCCAACAGAAGCTTCCTTGGAAAGTCTCACGGAGAAGTATTCGTGAGTGCGCGCAATGCGCGTGTGACGGCTTCTGGCTAAGCCGGCCATGGTTTCTGGCTTCTGGCTAAGAACACCAAGTGTTCTTAGAAATGTTCTGGCTTCTGGCTAACACGGCCATGGTTACACAACGCCTCTTGTGTTCTAATAACTTGATTCGTGTTCTTGGCGCACCCTTTGGTTCCAAGAACATGTCGTGGTAGGCCTACAGGAATGCCAGGACGGTCGGTCCCTGCACAACGGGAGCGTCCCTGCATCACGTCCACGCCGTTCGTTGGAAGTGGGTATGCTTGGTCGTCCATCTCCCGACCGACTTTAGGCGCCGTGCTGCGTCCAGAGTCGAGCGGTTGTCCCTCTCCTCTCCTTTTTTTCGGTGGGCGGGCGGCGACCCGATCTGCTTCCAGCGCCCTCCTGCTTCACGCGTTTACCCACTTCTTGGAACCGACCGGTGAGAGTTGCAGGCGCCCCTGTCATGGGTGACAGCGTCACCGAGGAAGAGAGGCGAGAGAGGGGAGGGATGGAGGGAGGGATGGAGGGGCGAGGAGAGAGGCGAGAGAGAGGGGAGGGATGGAGGGAGGGAGGGAGGGAGGGATGGAGGGGCGAGGAGAGAGGGGAGGGATGGAGGAGAGAGGCGAGAGAGGGGAGGGATGGAGGGAGGGGGAGGAGCTGCAAGCTCCTGCCGTGAGCCCAGCACCCGCTCTGAGGCGATCGAGGGTACGCACGACATCGAAGGCGCCCGTGCGGCAGTTGCGAATGTGCAGCGCCTCCTCCTCCTCCTCCTCCTCCTCCTCCTCCTCCTCCTCCTCCTCCGTCTCAGCACCCACTTGTCCCAGCGATTGCGCTGTAAAGTTTGATGATCGAGCAATTTTGAGAGGAGGGCGTGGGGTGGCCTCACAGGGAGCGGAGAGGGCGGGATAGAGCATCGAGTGCCAAGGATCAATGTGTTCGGCCGTTTTCTGTCTGTTTTTTGCCTCTGGTGGCCTGCGAGACCCTTGAGGACCTTTGGAGGCTTCCAGGGTGCGTGTGTGATCCCGAATGTTCACGGGCCCAGACACCGCAGGAGATACAGCGGCACCTTTGTCATCTTGCCTCCTGCCTCTCTGCCTCCCCTTGCCTCCCTCTCTTCGCCGTCCTCCCATTGATCCCGGCCTCCGTTTCTCCTGCCCTCCTCTTTCATTATCTTTCGTATTTGCCCAGTTTGGTTCAAGCGAGCCTCTTTACGGGGGACCACGCGGGGTGCGCCGTGCATGGGCCAGCGAAGCTGATGACTCTTGGCAGCCCAGCAGTGGGCGGCGACCAGGGCGAGGATTCTCTTGAGGCGACGCTGCTGCGAGTGCCGCAAGTTTATTGGCGCGACTCGGGTGCAAGCGCTGCAGCGCCGTGCGGCGTGCTTCCGGGCGGCCTGGACGGCCCGTCTGGGACTTGAGCGATGTTCTCGGGGCCCACCTGAGCGACGCCAAAAAAACGAGGTCGTCTGCGCCGGCATTGGCGCGTAAGCTGCCCGCGTAAGGTCGCGCGTAAGCGCCTTGGTCTTCAAAGTAGCGTGGCGCGCCGGCGGCTCGCGTGAGTCACCGCGTAAGGTCGCTGTGTCATTTCGCATGAGACTCGTTTTTGATCGTCGCTCACCTCTACATGATGGGGGACGCCTTTGCCTTTGCCGAGCTGACAAGGGGACGGCACGCCAGTGTCACGGGCGAATGCAGTCGCGGGCTGCGTTGGGGGCGGTTTGGGGCTGCACTCGCCGCTTTGTTGGGCCGCAGCTCGATGTCCAGGCTGCCGCTTGGTGTCAAGGTGGAGCACCTGGAAGAGGCAAGGGCCTGCCTCTACTTGCATTGGCCTCGCGGCTGCGAACAGGACGTCGTGGAGGCACTACGGGGCGCCCTGGGTACCCTCCAGCTGCGGGTTGCAGGCGGCGCGCCGCCAGATGAAGGGCCCAAGGTCGGAGTTTAACAACATCATGTTGGGGGCTTGCATCGAGAGGTTGAGGCGAGCGTGCAAGTGGACATGCAGCTCCAGAACATGTCCAAGCATCTCGCCGCGTCCGACGCGGCTTGGCAGACCGAGCTGGAGGGCATGATGGCTAGTAGCCAGGAGTCCGCCGCAGTTGTGCGTTCGGTGATCGACGGACGTGAGATTGCTTGCGTGTTCTTCGCCGACCTTTGGGAGTCGTCTGAGAGCGTTCAGCCCATTTGGTCTGGGCTGGGACAGTAGAGAGGCACGCCGTGGAAATACAGGGGATATGGTTGAAGGGGAAGCATGCGTGGCTCCAGCGGCTTGCCGCTTGAACCCCAGCTCTCGCCCACCACCTTTCCCCTTTTTGTACCCCTCGTTGCAGATTGCTTGCCTCTGTAAATTTGCGCACCCTGGGGATACGCAGGTAGCGGAGGTGGGGAAGGGGCGTGGGCGAGATGGGTTCTCTCCAGCGTGTTTTTTCTCGCTTCGCAGGGGGGCGTCTCGTTTCGTCCTTGGCAGCGGCTACCTCGCACCGTTGACAGTTCTGAACATTTTTATGATCCGTCCTTCACTCCTCCGCTCTTCCTCCCCACCATGTTTTGCCCGTACTCTGTTCTAGTAGTTCTCTCTTTTCCCTCCCTTTTCCTTGATCCTGTTGCTCTTCCAGTTGCATGTTCGGAAAGGGCACGCAGGGTGTCCTCCCGACCTCGTATTCCCTCCGCCCGCGCCTTCCCTCCCCCGCACCCCCTTCCAGAAGCCCAGCGAGAGCCGAACGCTTCAACAACAAAAACAGCCCTTGAATCTCGATGTACCTTCCTCCTCCGAGCCCTTATTCCTTGCTCCAAACATGGAGGAGGGCGGGACATTGAAAAGTTGCGCCACGCATGCCGTCAACAGACGTCGATCTGGGATGACAACTCAGCCACGATGCATCCCAGGATGGGCCCAGGGAGTCGGGTTGCACGGACTCTGGTCGGGTTTCAAAGAGATGCGGATTGGAAGCAGCAGCAGCAAAGCGGGAGGACCCTTAGTTTTTGTTATGTTTCGTTGTCGGCGACCAGCGGTGATCATGAAGGAGCTTCAGCGCAAGAAATGCACCGCGACATCAACCCTTCACAGAGAACATCATGCCTACCTTCTCGACGGAACCTCCTGTCAGACAGGACAGAGCCTCAAGCAGTTAGGCAGCGAGTGTCTCGAATCATACGATGAGCGAGCTTGCGATGGCTGTCCACACAGACGGCGCCCCACACAAACAGGAAGCGCGTTCACAGTCAGCGCGCCCAGTCAGGACACGCGCCTTCATCCAGGGTGCCCTGGTGTCCGTGCCTCTGCGGCCCGTCCTTTTTCGATTTCGCTTGTCGCCCGTCGCCCACTAACGTCCCCACTTCGGCCTCCAAGGATGCTGCGTCCTTGCCACCCGTCCTTAATGCACGTCTTGATTGTAGGCTCTCCTCCCACGCCAAGCGCATGTCAAGGTTGGCTGCTACTCAGGCGCAGCGTGGTGCCCCCTGCAGGTTGCCAGCCCGAGCGGCCCTGCCTTCCGATGGTGGCACCTGCCCTCGCATGTTGCCTCGCTCAGCACAGCTGGCTGCAGCCGTCCGCAAACATAGTGCACCGCTCAATTGGGCCTGGTTCGGGTGTGCTGTTGTCCATCGTATGTGCGCAACGCTCGACGGCTACACGGCCGTTGAAAGCATGTAGTTTCGGATTCGCTGGGCCAAATTTAGTTCAGGCGCCATTATACTTCAAGACACGATTTGGTTTTGCTGTGTAGTGCTATTCTCTGGGAAGGGCCTGGACTCAATCTGAGTTACCCGTCGTTCTACTTCAAGTGTTTACCTACTTCTTCTGACCGACGTTTATGTGGATGGCACACGGGTTTGGTTCAGGTGTGATGTTGTACATCGGATGTCCACCTGGTCTGTGCGGGTCTCGACCATGTCCCGAATCAGAGCTCGCTTATTTGTTCTGGGCTCCCAGATCTCAATCTGTTTCAAGCGCCTTTCTACTTCAGGAGTGTGGATGCGTTTGTTGTGTGCTGTTCTGCTTTGGGAGGGCTTGAGCCCAATCTACTTCGTACGCCTTCCTACTGCATGCCTTTACCAGCATCTTCCCACCGACGTGTATGTCTGCAGCTATGTTCAACTCGATTTCAAAGCTCGACAACTACGTGGACGGCATGTGGGCCTGGTTCAGGTGAGAGGTTGTCCATCGGATGTCCACCTGGCCAGTGCATGTCTCAATCATATCCCGAATCAGAGCTTGTATATCCAACATTTGAACCTTTCCTGGCCATATGCGGCCTTAGGGACTTCATGGAATTTGCCCGCAGCAGACAGATAGCCGTTGAACATCAGCATGTTGTCGGAGATGGGGGTCAGCACGACCCAGAAAGCAAGCAGTTCAAAAAACGACGAGCTCTGGAAGTCAAGTTGGAGGTCCCGAATATGCCACCTGCAATGTCTGTCGCACCCAGGCGCAGCACAAATCAGACCCAATCTCACCTCCTTAGCCTCTAGTCCTCAGTCGCCTCACCTCCCGATCCATCGATCTCAACAGTTCACTATTGTATCAGAGTGACCCCGTGGTGCACTGCACTGCTCGGGGATCGAAAGTGCAAACCACCTCCGAAATCTCTGGACCCTTTCAGTGGCCCGCTGCTGAGACCTGGGGAGCCGAACGGCCGTGCACGGCCTGATCCAGGGATTTCCCCCTCCCCCCCGACTCCAGAGGACATGGAGGGAATCATACTACTCGGTTGCGGTGGGGGCGAAACTAGTTGCGGCATGTATTGCCGTGCAGTCAAGCTCAGGAGGAGAGGCAGGAGGAGCAGCAGGAAGAGGAGGAGGAGGAGAAGGAGGAGGAGGAGGAGGCAGAGGACTCGTGCGAGGTGCGGGGTGACTTAATGTGCTTGAACGTGCTTTGCCCCACTTGGGCCCTCTGTCCCCCGTCCCACTGCTGGATCCACCTCCCCTTCGGGAGGTGCCACTGTCCCTTTGGGCAGGGAGGGGGGGTGCGTTGCTGGCTCCCCGATCGTGCTTCCCTAGAGGGTCTTCGAAGGGATACATGGGACGACAGAAGAGCCCCACAGGAGGGGACGGGGAGCCCTAGACCGCCGGGTCCTGCAGCTGGTTCGCCTGAAATGTCTTCACAACGTATTGAGGAATCGCGTTCTCGCCTCGATTCAGGCAGTGGAGAAGCGTCTTGGCTTGCCTATAGGCCCACCAAGGCATGGTCTAAGACCCAATGTGTTTTGCACGAAATGTTCGTACAACACTTCTGGTTGAGACCGTCTTGTCTTAACGCATCGGGTCTACGTTTAAGAACATTTGTTTACCATTCGAGCACTTGTTGATCTGAGAACAGTTCGTTGTAGGCCTACAGGAATGCCAGGAACATCGGCCCCTGTTCAAGTACTCAGGCACCGTGTTCTCGCCTCGATGCCGACTGCATGTTTGGCCTGGACGGCCTCGATCTTTAGCTTCCACCGCATCCAGTTGTTTTCACCCCTGTTCTCTATAGCCGACCTTATACTCCTCAGCCCGCCCCTTCATAGTTGCCTCTCTTAGGGTGCGTTGCTGGGGTAATGGCTCATAGGATGCAGCACCAAACAAGTCCTTCCCATCCTTCCCATTCTCGCTCCCGTTATTGCTCCTCCTCCTTCCTCATCCTTGACGTCCTCGCTTTTCCCTTCCGTCTTTCGCCGCATGCTGCCCGTTCCCTCCCCTATCCCCCGTTCGTCGTTCGCATGCGCCCGAGGCCTCACGAACACGCTGAGAAAGATAAAAGTCTCCAGCTATCAGGCCCGCGAGCCCTCCTCGCGAGGTGGCACGAGGTAGCAGGAGGAGAAGGAGGAGGATGAGGGGATGAGGAGGGCGATGACGAGGAGGAGGAGGAGGAGGAGGAGGACGAGGAGGAGGAGGAGGAGGAGGAGGAGGAGGAGGAGGGGGAGGGGGAGGGGGAAGGGGAGGGGGAGGAGGGGTGGAAGGAGGAGGAGGAGGAGGAGGAGGAGGAGGAGGATGGGAGGACGTGATGGAACAGTATGAGGAGGAGGAGGAAGAGGAGGAGGAGAAGGAGGAGGAGGAGAGGAGAAGGAGGAGGACGTGGTGGAACAGCACGAGGAGGAGGAGGAGGAGCAGGAGAAGGAGGAGGAGGAGGAGGGGGAGGAGGGGGAGGGAGGAGAAGGGGGAGGGGGAGGGGCGGAGGAGGGGGGGATGGGAGGAGGAGGAGGAGGAGGATCCTATGAGTCTGGGTGGCACGGGAACCGTCGCGCTCGGCCCAGCAGGGAACCGCGCGGCTCGCCTTTTTTTCTGCGGCACTCCACCGCCTCCTCGCCTCCCTCCGCCTCCTCGCCTCCCATCTGCTCCTCCGTCTTCCCTCTCCTCCGCCATCCCCCTGCCATCTCCTCCGCTGCCCCTCCCCTCTCTTCCCTCCTTCCCCTCCTCCTCCTCTGCCCCCACTCCTCCTCCTTCTCCGACGGCTCCCGCCTCCTCCCTCCCGCCTCATCTTGCCTTTCCCCCTTCGTGGGAGTGAGAGTGAGCTCCCTCCCCCTCCTGCCTCCTGCCTCTTGCCTCTTGCCTCCTCCTCCTCCTCCGCCCCTTCGGGGTGCCTCTTCGGATCAGCCCCTGTGGGCGCCCCCGCCTCCGTACAGTCGGCTCGTGTCGTGTCGACGCGGTGGCGATCCCGGCGCGGGCGTTCACGACTCAACGGCGCCAGCGGCCCAGAGTTGGCCAATGCGGAACGATTTGGCGATCGAGAAGCCGCCGATCGTTCCGGAATGAAAGATCCACGCGTTGTCAGAAAACAAAAAAAAGCACAAAACAAAAAACACAGCGCCTTTGGCCGTCACGGCACGAACTTGCCGTGCGCTTGCGGCTACGGCTCGCGCATTTCGCACTCCGTGATCACACGGCCTGCAGCTGATTGCGGCAGGCTGCCCCGCCGAGCAGGCAGGAGCAGGAGGGAGCAGGATCGGGAGGGCGACGCTGTGGCGGGCGGGTATGGGCTAGCTAGTCGTTGACAGTAGGTATTTTAGGATGCCCAAATCCCGATCAATTTTTGGCGCCATGCTGCTTCAAGAGTGGGGTGGCTCTCCCTCTTCCCTCGTCCTCAGGGGGCGGGCGGAAGCCCAATCTACTTCCAACGCCTTCCTGCTTCATGGTTCTACCCACTTCTTCCGACCGCTGGGTAGCTTAGCGAGGGAGGCCCAGACTCAAGAGAGTTTCTTGTCGTCGCCCTCGGCGTCGGGCTGAGTTCGCCTCATTAGCGGTCCTCAGAACCCTGTCGGGGTCTCTTCTTCGGGCATGTCGTAGTAGGGGGGGCGACGAGCGGGGGCGCGAAGCAAGGTGTCTAGTCTTGCACCTCCGGGGCCCCAAGTGGGCCCCCTGGGGCACACAAGCGCACGGAAGGTGCACATTCCTTCGCCCCCTTCGTTGTCGATATTGGGTATGCTGAGGATGGTGTTGATTGTGATGATGATGATGATGAGGAGGAGGATGACGATGACGAGGATGATGGTGGCGATATTAATGCGGATGCTGATGTTGATGATGATGGTGTGGTGGTGATGAGGATGCTGCTGATGATGGCAGTATGGCTGATAACGATGATGGTGCTGTTGTTGATGCTGCTGTCGATGATGACAACGATGGGGAGCCGGGGCCTCCGAGGAACGCTGGTTCGCCTTCGACAACAGGCGTCTCTGCTGTCTGCAGAGGGCCGCGGCGCAGCACTGGCCGCGCGAGGCCGTCATCAACATCATCATCATCATAATCCAACATCATTAACAACAGGAACGCCACCGTCACGGCCACCGTCGCCGTCATCATCATCACCATCTTCGCCATCTTCGTCCACACCACAATGATCAGCACCACCATGATCATCATCTTAATCATCGTCATCGTCATCACCATTACCAATATCATCAGAAACCTCATTATCGCCACCATCCTCCTGATCATCACGATCACCAACATCACCATCATTCCCACCACCAGCAACATCATCATCATCACCGTCAACATTACCGTCAGCATCATCATCATAATTATCATCATCACCATCATGATCAACGACGTCGTCATCGTCAGCAAAAAGAACATCATCGTAATTATCCCCGTCGTCGTCAGCATCATCAACATCACTCCGTCCTCATCCCACTCCGCATCCCCCGTCCGCCCCCTTCCTCCCCGTTTCACTGGACCTCTCCCTGGACAACTCCCTGGCCATATATATATATATATATATGTAATTGGGCCGCGTCCGGGAGCGCACGAGAAGCACCGAGCGCGTTCCACAACTCGCAAAGAGTGCCGACTCGCAAATGTCCGGAAAATATTCGCTCTTCCGATGCAATAGATCGGGAATCCTCCGCGGCGGATCCAGGCCATTTGCGGGTAGTTCTTTCTGCCATTCGTGGAGCGCTCTCGTCGAGAGAAGAGGCGTGTGCGTCGCCGTTCCATGCCGCCGTCCCTGTCGCCGTCCACCCCACCCCCCCAGGCCAAGATTGTGCTCGAGGCCGCGCTGAAGCACGCGGAAGCGGACCGCGGCCGGCCGTGCTTTCTTCTCGCCCTGTTCGGCGCCCGCGGCGGGGCTGGCCGGGGGGGGCCGAGGCCCTCCGCGTCGAGGCGCCCGTGCAGCACCGCCCTGCCCGGCCCGTGGCCGTCCCGGGCCGCGGGCTCTGCGCAGGCTCTGCGTGGCGTGGCCTCGGCCAGCCACGGCCCGGGGTGGCCCCGTCCAGACACGGCGGTGGTGCAGATACAAGTGCTGGGCCGCCTCTCGCGTACCTCCTCCTCCTCCTCCTGCTCCTCCTCCTGCTCCTCCTCCTCTTCCTCCTCCTTCTCCTCGTCCTGTTCCACCACGTCCTCCTCATTCTCCTCATGCTGTTCCTCCTCCTCCTCCTCCTCCTCCTCCTCCTCCTCGTGCTGTTCCACCACGTCCCCCCTCCTCCTCCTCCTCCTCCTCCTCCTCCTCCTCCTCCTCCTCCTCCTTTTCCTCTTCCTCCTCTCCGTCTGAATATTTCTCTCCCTCCTGCTCCTTATCAGCCTTAGTACCATCATCACCACCAGCATCATCAACAGCATCATCATCAGTCCTTCCTCCACTCCTCCATTATTCCATACATGTCCAGGGCTCTGTCCTGATCCTCTCCTTCTCTAATCCCTTTTCTCTCCCTCCTCATTCTCCTCATTCTCCTCCTCCTCCTCCTCTTCCTCCTCCTAGATTCCCCTGTCGCCTCATCCTCTTCTCTCACCTATACTCCTGCCTCCTCGCCTCTTCTTGCTTCCTTCTTCCCCCAGGCTGCTTTTTGCCCTCTCGAGCAACTTATTAATTTCCTCGTGGGCTTTACGTGCAAGTGACTTGAGTATCTGTCCCGTCTTGACCTGGCTGCGCTCTGAGACGTTTCAATGTCCAAGTTGCTTCTGAGATTGCGAAGATAACTTTCAAGACGGCCACGATGGCGCAGGATATCCTCCAAGCCAGCACCTGGGGGCCCCTTGACGGCCTACGTAGGCTCCCAAGACGACCCAGGATCTTCCCGAGACGCCCAGAGACGGCCCAGTATCCATGGTCCCACCAAGGCCTGAGAGACCCCGCGTACAGTCTCAAGACCTGGATGGCCCCGAGATGCCCCGGCGACGATCGAACGCCACCCGCAGTTTGTGCACCAAGAACTGGTCCCCGAGGCCCCAAGGGAGAGCCCTAGAGGCTCCAGGCATACATGCTGCGGTGGTGTACTGCGTCCCCGAGCTTGGCTTGATGGTGGAGGCCAGGCTGAGGCTGACCTCGGGCCCATGAAGCAAACAAATCAATCCATCCTGCCGGGCCCAGACATCGACGCCGAGCCCAATCGGACACACGTCCATGCGTAAGCAGCGTCGCGTCCAGAGGTGGCGCGCGCCTCTGCAGGCGAGGGGGAACGGATTGCGTGTTAGAGGCAGGGGTCAAGCCCTCCCAGAAGGAAAGATCGTCCGAGCGATCCCCACCCGCGAACGCACAGCGGCATTCTCCAGGAGCACCGCAACCTCTGGGGCCTGGCAGCAGCAAGAGGCGGGATGCCCAGGTCAGGGACACACTGGCACACTGTGGGCGGGGGCGCCGCGGTCTGCAGGGCGTGCGAGGCGTGTTGGGAGCGTGTTCCTCTGAATCCAACACCCCCGACC